AGAGAGAATGAGAGAAAGAAAAAAGGGTTTAAAAAAAATAAAAAAACACAACAAAAAACTTCTCTCTGCACAGTAAGCTTTATTCTCATTTGATCAGAACAAAAATCTTGGGGATTGTACAGCAAGGATCAAAGGAAAGAAACACAGAACAATTTGAATGCCATAAATCTGATAGGAATGGCTAATTAAATTTTATAACCTCTGCTTATGTCAATAGAGACCCTCTCCCCAAGCTGAAACTAGGTGTTTTGTTGTAATAATTAAAGGCGAAGTCTCGCTTGCTTTAATGGAGCCATCACACTAATTGAGGGCTACACATCCAAAGGAAAACAATAATGAATGTAAATTTATACCAAAATAAAGTACAGTGAATCAAAGGACTTCAGTTGCGCTTTGGGCCTCTTTCGGTATTTAGATCTCGGTGAGAAAACATTAAATTAACAGAGCTTAATTTGTAGCCTTTTGTCAGATTAACAAGTGTTGACAAGAGTTACCGGGGGAGAGTCCCCAAGAAGTATTGTGGGTAACCAATAGACAATCACACCTCATTACAATAATTAAAAAATACAGCAACATGCAAAACAGCATCCTCATGAAAGACACACAACTTTTTCTGACTGAGGTTTGTCTGTGCTGGCTAGTTGTTTTCATCTGTCCTTCAACTATATCATCTGACTGAGCAGGACGCTTTCTGGGGGGTACTATGGTAGAGACATCCTGGTCAGTTGAGGACAGGTGGGTTGGGGAGCTGATGGTGAAGCACAAGTGGCAGCGAGAGCAGAAATAAAAACCTTGGGCTACTTCTGCAAAGTTGGCCATGCCACTCTCCTAGAGCAAAAGCACATGCGATGGTATCATCTCTCAACAAAACCCACTTGGAGAAGTCTTATGACCTGTGGGTAGATATTTATACCTTGGGTGTTTACTTGTTATAAACCAGCAGTGGTGACAGTCTTCCTATGACAGAGGTGGCCATTACCACCTGCCTGATGAAACTGGCCACACATGGCAGTATTTGCATGGGTTTGGCAGCAATGACATTAGGTTAAAGGAGGACAAACCTGTGTCTGCACATGTAAAGATGTAAGGCTCTGAGACACAGATGAGCAATGGGGCTCAACAACAACCAGGAGTTTCTTCCCTAGGCTCTCATGTCTTTAATGTTCCTAACTTTTGGCACTAGCTGAGTGTATTTGTTTTAAACACTTAGGCTGTTACTGCACAAACTTGAGCTAAACAGTTGCTGCAGAGAAGCATGAGATGGCTGCACTGCAGCTAGGTCCTGCAAGCAAGAAAGTAGAAAAGAAGCTGACATGCATTCTACCAGCATTCAGTGTCCTAGGTTGGTTTAGACCAAGTTGCTCAAAGCCCCATCCAACCTAGCACTGAATGCTTCCGGGGGGGAGCAACGACATCCACAACCTCTCTGGGGAACCTGGGCCAGTGACTCACCACCCTCATTGTAAAATATTTCTTCCCAATATCTAATCTAAGTCTACCCTCTTTCAGTGTGAAACCGTTACCCCATGTCCTATCACTACATGCTCTTGTAAAAAGTCTCTTTCCAGCTCTCCTGCAGGCTCCCTTCAGGTACTGAAAGGTTGTTACAAGATTAAATCAAATCTACTATACAAAAGGCTTAGGTAGAGTTTAAGTCCATTATAAACCAATTTAAGAGATGGCAACATAAGAAAAAAAAGAAAATAAGGACTCAGTTGTTGGAAGGAACCTCACACCCAACAAGGCTCTGCAAGTGGGATATAAGGAGCTGAAAAGAAAACAAAATCCCAAACTGACTTTCCATGGCTTTTTTCTTAGCCAGTCTTAAAGCAAACTAATTCCTTTTTCTTGTTTGCAAGAAAATTCCTTTCCTCAGATGCCAACTTCCCAGCCACGTCTCAACCAGGAATGCTGCTCACTGGCTGATATAAAGCTCTACTGTTCCACAAGAAAAATAAAAGAGGTTTCAACAGAAAAGGCCAATGAAATTAAAGCTGCACTTTCATAGTAAGGATGGTCCTGCTAAAAAAGTTCATTAGAATCCTCCTGAGCTGCGAGAAACCTAAATTTGAGAAAACCCCATGTGGTGCAGTGTAAGGGCACTAACAAGAAAAGGAAAGTTCCGCAGATAGGTTTTAAGATTCATGCTTCACAAGCCATCAGCTGGCTAAGACAACATGCAAACCTAGGCCCAACAGCTCATGTTTGCTTAAGACCACATGACCTGGCATAAGTTTTAATTAATCTTCATGAGGTGGATAAATTCATAACCACTCAATGAAGTGGTAGTTGGCAAACAGACTTATCTCAATGCTGCCACACATGCACACACACACACACACACACAGAGTGACAAACATAAATTTTACACATCAAAAAAGAAAAAGGAAATAAAAAAAATGGAACTCCTTACTGTGGTACTAACCATCCTAGCGGATGGGGGATTTGTCCTACAGTGCCCGGTGATAACGGATAATAAGGAGATATATCTGGAGGATGTGGAGGCCTTGGAATTCCTATGGAAGAAGAACATATAGCAGCATTAGTACTGAGATATGGAAATAAAATCTAAGGAAAACTCACATATGTTTCAAAATTGCCATAAATTCTTCTTTATTACAACACTCGTGGCTTCACTTTGGGTTTCTGAAGGTGGTTTCACAGTCTTGTTTTATACAGTGATGCCTCTTGGCATCTTGTTAAATGAGATTCAACCACAAAAACTGATGTGATTTGCTCCCTGTTAGGTGCTGCCTTAAACACTCAATAGAAAGATGGTCCCTTATTTAACTACATGGTTATTTTAGCCTCAAAGTCACCAAAAAACCACAGGCCCTACCCATACTTTGTGTACTCAACAGAATGGTGTTATTCCAAAGTAACCTCCAAAATGAACTACCAAGTCATTATAACTGCAAATGATGTTTGCTTTTGAGCAAATCTAGGAAACCTTCCTGAAACCTGGAAGTGGAGGGGAGAACCCCTGGAAGTTCTTGCTAAAAAAGGGGGGCAGATGCAGACGGTGTGCAAGGAAGGACAGGGAGCCCATCCATCCTGTCTAAAATTGGTGCAGTTCCTACTCGGAGAGCAGAAATTGGCTCCAGACACAAGGTTTAAATCTCAACCCTCCTTACCTTAAGAGCAAGCAGGAATTACTCAAGAGGAATAAGGGTTACAAGACTGGGTCTTTTAATTAACAAGCCTGAGTACAATTACACCACAGAAGCAAAATTAAAACAGAGAGCATTAGAAGGAAGGGGTACTGTATTCATGGCTAAAAACTATTTTTTTAAGTCACTCAGGAAGCTTTTAATCTCTAAATTAAATCTCCTTGTGTGACATTTTCATGCAGACATTACTTTTTCTCCATTACAAAACCCAAACAGATTAACTAGGCTTTAACCATCCGGCGAGCTATTTGCACACTTGAAAGAATGTTCACAGAAGAAAAGTAAACAGTCCACAGACGTTAATCATATGTTTTACGATAACCATTTAAAAGCTATTCCCTGTACTACCATTATTTAAATGAGAGGTTGACTATGCCACTCAATTGCAATACCCAGGGTTGGTGAGATGGATTCCTTTTAAGCCATGTGAAGTTAGCATTAAGCACAATTAAAAGGGGGCCCCAATTGAAGCATGGGGAATGAAAAGCAGCTAATGCATGGCATCACTGAGGGGCTGGACTTAGATAAATTATCTGCATACGTTAAGGCCAACAGAGAGCAATTTCTTTGACATGAACTCGGTTTCCAATTAACTAGCTGGGATGTGGACTAACAAAAACAAACCCACTGTCACTAGGAACTCAGTGCAGCCTGAAGAAAGAAGACTGATGCTGTTTGACTTCTCTGGGCCCTCAGGTTAAACAGGGACTCTTAAAAAGTTAGAATAACATGTAAATTCTGCTCTATAACACCAATAAATCTAGTAAGGGTTTTACATGATGTTCTATATTCAAGAAGACTGCCCTTCAGGCTGAACTGAGAGTTGGGTAGACTTCCATTGGGGAAAAGAATTGTGAGTATAGAGCTGGAACTCAGTAGTTAGCGTGGAGGCAAATTCAGCATTATAGGAGAAAAATGACTGAACTCCTGACACAGAAACAATGGGATTTGGGGAATTAAAAGAGACTCATTTTGATACCGGTCACGACCCACCACCTTTAATATTCCAGCTGCAGTCTTCTAAGTGCAGATCAGAGAATGTACATGTTTAACTCTCTGGGTTGTGCATGCAAACCAAAGACTTGGTAGATCCAACTACTAGATGGGGTATCATGCTTGCAAAGAAACACACCTGCACATGACCTCATACATGCAACTCTGGTGTCACCCTGCAGAAGCTTTATGAAAATTCACCCAGTAGATTTCTTTCTGAAGCCTAACTGGCTTAAAAAAACCCTATATTGTCCATGTTCTTGCATGTGTTTGCCATTTCACGTGCCCCCTTTGGTGCTCCAGCATGGGAATCCTTCCTCCCGCACTCGTTCCCCTTCATGCGCAACATGGAAATTCCACCCACCCACTCTCAAAAAAACCCCAAACTATTTCCCACCTACCTGTTTTGGGATCTACATCGGCTGGTAAGTGTGGAGGAGGGTTTCCTGGTGTGAAGTGCTCATTGCTGTACGTGATAAGCGGCGTAAGAGGGTGTACATGGTGTGGGTGCTGCACAACTGGCACTTTGTTAGACTGTCAAGAGAAAAAGGTCAATGATGTTAGAGGAATGCCAGGTACTCCCCATTGCAGCACAAGGCATGATAGAGAAATCTAAGCACTCAGGATTTCAACATGGTCCTCAGACTTTTCCAGATCTCTTCTTTGTGTCACCTTTGCTGTTTTCCCACCCTCTTGCTTAAAACCTACTCACACACTTTCCTTGCTCTTGAGTGTCCTTAATATTTTTGACCTCTCATACTCCTGTATGGAACAACAGCAATGCTTTAAGGTTTTTTTCATTATTTTTTTTTTTAAAAAAAGAAATATTGTCCTTTACCTGGAAGATGCAGGCAGACTCCTCAGTGAGGGGCTGACAAAGTCCCCCATTTAATTAGCAGGAGAACCAAATGCTCACTGACCTGTAGGTCTTTTCCTTTCCCCTTCCTGTCCTTGCTTTCAGTTCTGCATTTTACTGCTCATTGCAAGTACTCCAGATAAAAAGCCTTTGTAGTGCTAGAGTATTCCCTTCATCAGCAAGCATTAAGCTGACAAGCGATCACCTGCATATTTTATATATATATTTTTTAGAAGAGCTGATTAATTATCAATTCATCAGAGAGCGCTAATAAGTGGAAACCGGATACTGATGAATTAGGCTACTAAAATATTCAGCTATATAAATAATAGCACAAAAAACAGATAAAGCTGTTGGAATTAACACTCTTGTGGGGGGAATAATCACACAGATACGAGGCTTTCCCTGCCACAGTCCTAGCTCTGGGGGAAAAAAAAAAAAATATATCTTTTTCCTAACTACAATAAAAACAAATAAGGAGTGAATGAATGAAAGGAAAAACCAGGCTGAACTGTAGCTTACCCTTACAAGATCACAAAGAAAAAATTAAGCTGAAACAAGCGAACTGCTGGACCATTTACTGCGAGTAATCCAATTGCAAAAAACCCTATTCCCCACAGAGGATTTTCACTAAAATCCTACAACAGGGACATTTAACCAGATTAGGTACCAGCAAAGATAAAGAGGCTGGTATTAGATGATGAATGGATTAGAGTCAGGTTTCATTTTAGAATGTGTCTTCATTTCCTTTTATTACTTTAAGTAAGGAACAACTTGCATTAACATCAAGTAAAGGGAATCACATTAAAATGAAGTGGTGATACCACGGCAGCTCCCGATAGCGCCACTGGTGTTCAGGGTCCACCAGTGCTTCCCTCCCCTGCTCCAACCCCACTGCTCACTCCCAGCACCCCCAAACACACACCCTGGCTGTGCCGCTTTAGATGAGTCATTATCTGATGTCGGTTTGAACGCTCTGAGCTTTCCTTAAAAGCATTTAAAAAATAATTCAGTTATTCCCTGAGAATGAGTTTCTAGACTAGGGGAAAGGAAGAGGAAAGATAGACTGAGAGCTACAAGGAGAAGAAACGTGTCTCCTCCTGAATAAACAAGAAGCCCCTCCACTGTGCTTTGGCCAAGCTAAGCTTCAGCTTTGGCTCCTCCAGGCACCCTGGGAGACTCCTCCAGCTCCAGCCCCTGCTGTATGAACCTATTCGACTCACCTCTTTGATAACCTGCAGAAAAAGTGTGCATCCAAGAGAAGCAAGCCAAAGAGCAGTGCTTATGCTCCCTACAACTTCTACCATATCTATTTCTTTCTGCAGCCCTTCCATGGAGTGATTCCCTTCTAATACCATGCTCGTGACACAGGAGAGTCCACAACACAGGACAGAGCATGGCTGTGACAGCCAACACTATCAATTACAGCACCTTGTGTTGGTTGGCTGCCAGTTGTACAATCAAGGACTACCGGCTGCACAGACCCGTAACAGGTTTGCATTAGAGGAGCTATGGGGATCTAGCCCCTTAATTAAAAAGCCAAAGGAGATGCTCTAACTCCAAATCTGTTATTTTCCAAGTGAATCAACCTTAGGAGTCCAAAAGTAACTGAAAGGTTTGGCAGGGGCTTCATGTAACATATCATATTACACACCATGCAAACTAGGAGGCATCTACTCAACACATGACAACATATGCCAAATAACCACTTGATCTGGTTTACACACACAAAAAAAATCATTCTCAACAAGAGGGATCTTGCTGGCCAAGAATTGTGTGAATTCTTGCTGTTAGATGACCCACAGGTTTGCAGCAGCTGTAACTGTGCTCTCTCAACGTCATCTTCACATCATTGTAAAAAGCCCTCACCCAGATCCTGACAGACACTGAGGGTTATCTTCCATGGAAAGCTTATTTTCACAGAAACTGAAACTGGTCAGTCCAAAAAAGAAATTAAGTGACAGAATAATATTAGAGGGTCAGACTTAAGCCAACAAACAAGAAACAATATGTGAGCAGAAAGCTGGACTGACATGCCCCTATCACCAAAGCCAGATATACCATAGGGGGCTATATGTAAACTGTGGGAAACTACCATACACTGCTTTGATACACCAAGACCCCCTGCAATATCTCCACAGAGCAGCACAAGTGCTAAATTAATACTATTTTACTTACCTTTCAGAAAAAGAAAAAATATATATATATATATTTTTAAAAGTCAATGACCAGGAGTTTTAACTTTAGTCTGCAAACTTTTCCTCAGATAAGTAATTTTTATTTGGGTGACTGTCCTGCAAACACCTGAATTCTATCAGACAATTCATATAAAGGTACTGGATCACAGAATCGTTGGGTAGGATATATTTTTGCCACTCTGATGGCTCAGGGGCAGAGGTGTGGAGAGAATGTACCTCAGGAAATGGGGAAACTTGTCATCTACATGCTTAAAAATATGCTCTCTGGGATAAAGGAGTGTGATCCACTTGCCCTGCAAATCAGTCAGCTCTGTATCATTAACCCAACCCAGGTTTGTATTCTGTTCTGCAGTGTTTATCAACACTGGGAAAAGGGACTGTAACTCAGCTCAGAATAGCACACATAATCTGCAAGCCAAGCTAATCATGCATAATATGCTAAATAAGCTGCTCTTTAAAAGCAGAATTCCTGAAGTTAACTAAGCTTCCTTGGAAAAGAGCAAAAGAAAGGACTAGCTGGGAATGAGCAGGAATTAATCCTGCACGTGCATCTTCCTTTGAAGTCAATGGGAGCTCTGACTGAGTAACAAGTGTGGTCCTAACCCCATCCACTGGCAATGAAAGGTAAACCACAGAAGCCATCAATAGAAGACACCTAATAGATGACCTCAGCCATTCCCCTGCAAAAGGCCCTTCTCCAATATGTATTTGCAAGTACTTTATCAAGGGTAGTTTTAAGCTAAAAGCCAATGTGAGAAGCAGGAAATTCTCTGGCAACTTGAAGAACTCCATTTATGGCTTTGTCAGGCAGGGAAAGGGGAGCTGCACTGGTACACACAGATTAGCATCAGGGCATGTGGAAACAGGGCATGGACAAGTGGAGATTTTTTGAGAGAAATCCCAGCACCTACAAAGTACCAAGTCATCTGCTGATAAATCACATCTCTCCACTGAAAGCTGCGGTCTCATACGCTGGGTTAGAGGGCATGGTAAAGAATTGCAAAATAACAACAGAAGTTTGCTTTTCTTGATAACCCCTGCCTGAAGGAAACCAGAGGAAATTGTCCCCATAGGGACTCAACTGCTAAATCTCTATATATTAATTTAAAATGCTTCTGGGAGTGCTTAAACACAGATGACTTTTGACAATAATTCAGCTCTGGAATGAAAAAAAAAATATTTATTTTTTTTTTAAATTAAAAAAGAAAAAAGCCCACAACAAATTTTTGGGCAGATACATGTTTGAGAAGGATAGTGAGATCCACTTAGCTTAAATTCTGATAGGTGCCTTTAGGGAACAAAAGAAATATCTGAACTTCAGATTTAAACTGCAGGGGATTGTGTGTATAAATTGCTGTGTATTAGTCTTTGTTGCATGGTAAGGACATTTCATTAACAGGATGAAAGATGCTTCTGTGCGTGTACAGCCCAATTTAATACACCCCACTGATGAATACTCCCCATTTATTGAAGAAGTTAATACATGCTATATAAATCAATAGTTCCTAAGTCTCTGAAAGCAACATAAGACTTGCATGAGATGAAACATTGTATTGTTGAGCACACAAAGAGAAGTCAACCTTTAAATAGGATGAGTTTGTTACTGCAATTTCTGTTTGCAAATTCACGGCTTGTTTGGCTTTGGAAATAAAAACACGGTATTGACTCCAAGACAAGAAAAAAAACATGCCAGAGAGACCAGAGGATTTGTCCTCTCCGGGACAACATGGTTCTAGTAGAAGCAGGTCTGCAAAAAATGCCACCCAGGCTGAAGACAAGCCACCATGCCATAGCAGCATCACAGCAGCCAAACCCTTCCGCCTCAGCGAGGCTGTTTCGCTGCTCCCGCCCAGCACAGCTGAACCTCCAGTGGCCGCTGGCAGAGGTCCCATGGCTGCAGCCAAGGGGGTAGCCCCTTCCCTGACCCAGGGCAACCTTTTAAGTGTACTTAAAGTCTCAAGCTCTGCTGGTGAGGCAGGGGTGGGCGGCTGCCTGCCAGGCACCTGCTGACCACACACAACTGGGAACGCCGCAAGGGAGAGACTGCTCAGGCTCCTGCACTCCAGACCCCTCCACTATGAGGAAGGGAGGAGGAATTAGAGCCCACCATTTACCTTAAAACCTATTAATCAACAGACCCTGAAAACAAATGGAGCTAGAGCTCCGCCTGTCTTTTTTTTTGTCATGTCCTCCTCTTCCCTGTTTCCTCATTGCTTTCCCTTTCTGCTGAAGAAAGATGGACCCTGAAAGTGCCTTTATGAGCCTAATACAATAAAACAAAAGCAGCACAGAAGAGGGTTTGTCAGCCTTTTCTCCTCCTCCAGGGTGGATGCAGAAGGTCAACAGTGGTCTTGAATTAGCAGGCCCTCCTGGAGTTGGTCACTGGGTTTAGCAAAAGGTACCATTCAAATACCAGTCCACATTAAAAAAAAGGTTTATAACTTGTATCCCTGTATTTTCCAGATGGTGCTATTGCAGTT